CGCATGACTGATCAGCATTCCTCACAGCCTCAACGGGGGAGAAAACTGTGCTGAATCCCTCCTGCCAAGGCGGGCAGGCTTCTTAGACTGCCAACATGCTTCCCAACGGCCATGCTTGCTCACACATGTCTGCGCAGGAGGGGTGAGCTCAGGCAAGGAGTCCAAAGAAGGAAAACCCGTCAGACACCCAAAAGCAGCGAGAGTGACGAACATAGCCAAGCGAACCGGCATGCATCACAAGAGGGGCGCCTTGCATACTGGTCGAAGCTTCGGTCACAAAGTCAACCGCAGCATACTCCACATTCTCCAACACAGCAAGTACTGGCGTGCGCAAACGGAGCTTCCGAAGCAGGCGCCGTATATCCTGCGCCACCTGAGGCGCTGCACGGAAAAGCTGGGTGGCAGGAGCCTGTAAACCACGGCGGGCAGGATTTAACCGGCTAACCTGTTGGCATGGAGACCCACCAATCACCATGACCAAGGAGAAACGCCGAGAGGCGAGCAAGTCTTCCAGGCAGGTCACATCAAAGTCCTGCACGTCCCGGATCTGCCTGACATTGCGAAACGAGTGCGAAACCACCTGAGATGCAACTGAGTCCAGCTCAACCGTGACAGCGGCAAAAGTCATGCCGAGTGCTGGCAGAGCAAACAGGGCGCCTCCAAATCCACCGGAAAGGGAGACAAGCAAAAGCGGCGCGTACCAAGGGCAGGGCCATGGTAACTGAGGCAGCGGTGTACGCCCAACATAGATGGCCATCTGAGTCTCACTCCATGGCTTGGCACCTGCAAACACACCTGCAAGCCTCAGAAAACACCAGCTGGCTGGAGGCCTCAGAGCTAGCTAAGACCGCAGACAAAGAGGTGCGATCTGCGCTGGACCTTTGGAGCCACCTGCTTGTGAGGCTGACATGTGGCCACATCTCTCTGGGCTGATCGCTCGCCACGCAACACTTTCCTGGGGCCCTTCCAAAGGGGAAAGCTAGGCTTAGGCAAAACCGGATCCACTGAAGGCATTGCGTGCTGAATGCCAGAAGGATGGGCCTCAGGTGGGGCCTGGCACGGATTAGACGGCCCCACCCGGCCAAGTCCCTAACGGTGAGGGCAGCTAGCACGCGTATGGTCACGCGCGCCACACACATTCGAATCCGGCTTCATGACGTCACATGCGTGGACTCTGGAATCCGGGCAACCCTTCCCCTTGGAGGCACACCCACGGTAAATCATTCTGCTTTTTGCAAAGGTAGCGGGAAACCCAGCAACCATCACGCTGCAACTCAATGGACCGAGCACGCCTAGCTTCGTCCCTAGCACGCAACCACTCGAGCCAAGCCTGTTGCTCAGATACACATCTCAAAGCATTGTCTGCATAGGCAATGTTGACATGCAAAGGAGAAGCGGTGCGCTTCTCGCCTGGCTTGGCTTTGCTATCGACCTGCGTGGCGCCCACGATACTAAGACCATTGGCAAGGATTCGAAGCCCCTTGTAGTAGGCAAAGACATTGTTGATGGGCATCTCTCCCAAATCCCGATCACCTGCAAGGACACCTGCCCGGTGATTGTAATGCGACGCTCCTGGCCATGGGCCCGGTTGCAAAAACCGAGGCTGCGCACTTTGGCAATGGGGATCAAAGTTGGGGCGCATGGTCTCGCGGTACAGCCTACCCAACAGGGAATCTGATGGCTGCAGGTGCACCGACATCTCCATCGAGTACTTCTTGCACCACTGCTGAATCAAAGAATCTTGCGTGGACGGATCCAGCGGCTCATCTAAGTCCTCTGCAGGGACTCCTTGGGACTTCTTAAGCTCTGCTTTCAGGATCTGGGCACGCGCGGCACGCAAGGCAGCACGAATGCGGGACAAGGCCAAAGCATTACCCTTGGTGGCAGCACAAGCCTCGACCAAGACTGTACCAAATTCAGTCTCATACCCACTCACAGTCACCAAGTTGACAAAATCAGCAATGGTCTGAAGGCCCACAGTGGTGCATATCATATTCGGCAAGCTCCTGAGGCACGCGGGCGTCCTTGAAGCACTGCTTGAGAACATCCATCCAGCTCAGCACCAGCCATGGGCGTAGTTTCTACACACTGCGTGCCGACAAAACTGCGACAACACAGAGAACATGACATAGGCGGGGCACAATGCCCAACATGGTCAGTCTGCGCGCAAGCTTAGGCAGTACAAGCGCAACTGGACACATAGGTCAGCCGCACACTTTTTGAACTCGCACTCCAATCACAGTGAGACGGTTGTGCCCGTACAAAATTGGCCAGGTCCACGCAGGTGGCCATCAACAGGCGGGAAGGAAGGACCTAAACCCCTAGACCCCTAACAGTGGCACTCAAAGCACTCATGAGAGCCATGGCCGCCTCCAGGAACATCGAAGATCCGTCGCGCGCAGTAGTGGCCACACGTTGTAGAGTAGGCACACGGAGCGCAATAGCGGCCCGTAGGAGTCATGCCCTTGAAGTGTCTAGGCACAGGAGACGGCGCCCCAAAGGCCAAAGGCGGGAGATCCCGTACCCGCTGCAGACACGGCTGTCAAAGTAGAGGTAGCCGCAATGGCCCTCACAACTAGAAGCACCCAGGCCACAGCCGATGCTAGGGCTCCCGAAAGGCGCGGCGCCTGGCTCACTATGGCAAAGAAGGCCACTACAGACAATGGGGGCTTTGGCGACACACAATGCGATTGATCTGCGACGTCTCAGTGCTGGACTAACCCATCAAAGACTGGGAAGGGCACTCCTACGTGCTCACGCCACCACTTCAAGCTGGAAAACACTCCCTTGGCCGCAGTGGGGCCTCCACGGCTAATGTGAGAAAAGAAGCCTGACAGCTGCAAAGGTGTGGGCATCCAGTACGGCACATCGGAAGGACAATGCTGTGCATGGTAACTAGTCCACCTCTTAAAGGCACGGCGGTGTGCATGCAAAGCCTCAGTGGGCACGGGCTGCAAAGAGCGTTCAAAGGGGAGACGGCTCCGCTCAGGGCACGTGGTCAAATCAGTGCCGAAACGCACATTATGCGATCCCGTGGCACAGGCAACCTGGAAAAGAAGATCCAGCAACATCTGCCTATCATCGCCGGCCGTCTTAACAGACGCCGGGCACTGAGATGCAAACAGGGCACGAAATGGTTTAGGCACAAGAGAGGCTGGTGGAACTGCACGTGCCTTTGGCTTAGTGGCAACAAGGCTGGGAGTACGGGGAGCAGGCGCTGCAACAAGTGGCGGCAAATGCTCCAGTCTAATACGCTCAACCACTCTTGCAGCTTTCCAAGCATCCGTCAAAGAGCTGACCAAAGATTGGTCTGCAAAAGAATCGAACATGTCACGCTCATCCTTAGGTCGGCTGCCGTCTCAATGCCCAAGGCTGTGACAGCTTCAGCAGCGCCCATCGTCAAGCGTGCCTGCACTGCAGACGGCACGGAATTGCAGGCCATGGCAGCAAGAAAGAAGGAGGCGTCTGCTGTATTTTGAGAAGGCGCAATGCTGCAGCAGACACCTCTGCAGATTCTTAAGTGTGCATGACCCTTCCCAACCAACCTGCATATGCACAACTGCAGAAATTTGTGTCTGTTTTGTGTTTGGTTTCTTACACAATTGATCTCCCGCAACCATTTGGCTCAGGCCCTTCTGTACCATAGCAATACTCATGATTGCGTGACAAAGGAACCTTTGCAGGCCGCTTGTAGGATTATACAACAATACAATCCACCAGGGACAATCCATCCTCCAATCATCCATATTGGCATATTGGACTCTCTCCGGAATAGATGCAGGGACCAAATCAACGACCTCTACTACCACAAGGGTACCAGTTCCCTTCTGGGATAGGTGCCCCGGCAGTGGGGGTCCCCGCCACCACCACCTCCCCCCCCCCCCCTGCTCTTCCCCCCCCCCCCCCCGTGCTTTCGCAGGGACACCTGGAACAGGCAGTGGCAAGTGTTACGCATACTGCATTTTCTGCATAAGACACACTCGCATGTGCGCATGTCGATGTTTAATCTATCTATCTATCTATCTATCTATCTTCCATCTATCTGACTGTCCCGTCTGTCTGTCCGTCCGTCGGTCCGTTGCCTGTCTATCTACCTATCCAATTCCGAGCGCTTTGACGGGAATTCAAACTTGAATCACAAGCCATCATACCCAATGTTTGCAGTTAATTCCTCAACCTAAGCCCTAAGCTGCAACGTGCATCATCCTGAGAGCCCCCACAAGCTCAAACCCGCCATAACAAATAATAAATTACAAGATCTACAAGAACAACAAACATGAGTTGATAACAATGAAAGCAATGACATGACCCACGGTCGCAGTACTTGCTTCCCGTTGGGAATTCGTGAGTTCCCCTATTTTTTGGAGAAACATGCAGAGTTCCCTGTGTGGACGTTTTGTCTGAACCTGGCAACGACAATGCTCGCGATAGTAACAGCGAGGCGGCTGCAGTCGCAACAGCGGCAGGAAACAAACGGTCTGCCGCACAAATCACTATCAAATTTACCACAGCCCACCAATCCACCAACCAACCAACCAACCAACCGACCCACCTACCATCACCCACAACCACCCAACCCAACCCAACCCAACCCAACCCAACCCAACCCAACCCAACCCAACCCAACCCAACCAACCCAACCAACCCAACCCAACCCACCCAACCCAACCCAACCAACCCAACCCAACCCAACCCAACCCACCCAACCCAACCCAACCCAACCCACCCACCCACCCACCCACCAACCCACCAACCCCACCAACCAACCAACCGACCGACCGACCGACCCACCCACCCACCCACCCACCCACCGACCCACCAACCCACCACCAAGCAACTAACCCACCCACCCCCCACCCAACCAGCCACCCACCCACGCACCCATGCACCCACACGCACCCACGCACCCACCAACCCACGCACCCACCAACCCACCAACCAGCCCACCCACCAACCCACCCATGTGAAGTGGCTGAAGACCTGCAATCGACACCCTTCTCCTTGAAAGTCCTGCCGACTCCAGCATCCTGGAACGGGTGACCTCGTAAGTCCACGGCATACGGGCATTGGGCCAAATACGGGCTTGCAATCCTGAAATAACCCGAACTCCCTTTGTCTCTGTGACAAATTTAGCCCTTCGCAAATGTCCTCTCAAATGGACGATAGGCTACTGAATATGTTTACCGAACCTCACAGCGAACCTGATTCTGGAACTTGCACGACCTCCTATAAGCTTGCGGCCAGTTGACAAGCTCGGATTCAAAACCTGCAATTTCAAGGAACGGAGGATTCTGAAGCCAGCACTTGCAAGCCTCATTGAACTCCCGCATGCTCGAGCGGAAAGCCTTGCAGGATTTTGTGATTCTCAGCCCCAGCTTTGTGCCGGACGAGGCTGTGACATCCGACAGTCGGTTCTGAGGAACCGCCTTCACAAAGGCCTGGCAGAGTTGCTTGGCGCATTGCGGCTGAACTGGCTGTGGGTCAAGAATAGGGTAACCCCAAAATGGAGCCCTGGTATGGAAACATGGACCAAAATCTGCGGTCCCATGATGGTTTGATTTTGACCCACACCCAACTGGAATCGATGGTCTAAGGACTGGCCTGCAGCAAAACCATGTAGCGTCTGGCTTTGTCGGTCAAGCCCATGTCTGCAAGCAGCATAGCCTGCTTCACAAATGCCCACAATCGCTGCTCCGTGAGCAATGTGGCAAAGCACAATTAAGCACCGAGGCAGGAACATGCGCCAACTTGAACGGCTGTATAGTTGGACACAAGGAGTCAGCATTGCCACAGCGCAAAGCCTTTCAGTGGCGATGAAAGGGCAATGAGATGGGCGAGCCAAGGCCCCAACGTACTCGAAAATTTCCGACCTGACTCAAATTGCTGCAGCAAGGGCGAGTGCTGCAAATCCGTCAAGCTGAGTAGCAAGCAGTTGCAAGGCCAACGGGTCGAGCAGGCGCGACTTAGAAAACTCGTCGACTTAGTTAGGCACATCAAGCACATCAAGGTCTCCCTGAGCCAAGGAGCAAAGTTCTTCGGACTTCGATGTTCGACGCCCAAAACACATACGAGGCCTTGGCTGGGTCATAGCTATGGCCATGAAATGCCTTGAAGATTTCATGCGGCTGGGCTTTCAACTGGAAGGAGCGTCAACCTTGGCTTGGCAGCGCAGCTGCAAAGACCTCTTCATCTTGGGCAATGCCAAGCACGAGACAGCATCAAGTGTCCTCTCCCCTGTCATGAGATAGCACCTAGGTGCTACATGAGCACAACTTGCCACAGGCACGATCATGTTGTCGCTAAGTCCAGAGCACATGGCCTGCGAAGACATCCCCTTTGCCTGCCAGCCTTCGTTTGATGGATGGATGTGCAAAGGCACAGACCAAAATGACTTCCCTGAGCGACTTCACCCAACGACTCTGCCTTGCAGCTAGAGACTCAATGAAGGAAATTGCCAGGTTCGCGTAGTCATGACGCCTCGACCTAAAGTTGCTTGGTAGTGTGCGAAATGGCAAACCAAATGCAGTGCTGTCCAGCATGACACATGGCCCCCCCTCCTCCACAACAAACTCCTTTCATGCTGCAAATGGGGTATGTTCAAAGGAACGGGCGCCTCTATGACGCCGGAACTGTTTGTCACGGTTTCAGAAAATCGTACGACATCCAAGCCTTCCAGGGGGGTGGGAGGGTGGGGTATTCCTTCTCGTTTGTTTGCCATTGCTTCCAACAATTCAGTCACAGGACAACTCCCTGCTTATACTGCCATGGCTCAAGCCTCAGTGGACAATCGCATTGAAAGGTGCAGATCGCACACAGAGTTGCTCTATATTTCAATGATCCCTTCCATATCACTTCGCCTCAGGGAAATAACATGCAACATTGCGCGGGAAAAGGCACGTGCAGGCTCAGCGCTTCAAGATTCATCTGAAACGTCCGCGTTTCGTGTTGGAATCCCAACGGCACGGCAACTTCTTCTACACGCAAACACTGTCGCTTACACCCAGGCATTTTCAACAACGGGACCCTTCGCTACGCCTTCGGGAAAAAGTCCCTCCTGGCACCGTTTCAGGGCTGGTCGTGCAAGCCGCAAGCTGGAGGTTTGAAAGTACGCGTGTCCCTATCTGTGCTGCTGGCAGCAGCGAAAAGACAGCTGCATATGCAGGCCAGCCTCAACACGCAGCTATTGCAACGTGAGAGCGTGACACGCCTGATCTGCACGCCTGCGAGAACTTTCTCTGTGATTTCAGGCGGAGATCCTGCTGGCAGTATGAGCACGCGTGACACGGATCAAGCCAGCCAAGATTTCTCAGCGTCCTTTGCCGACACATTTGAAGAGGAACAACAAGGCGCAAACAGTTGGATCCTGAAATCAGGTTGCATCTTCCCAGAACAAAAGACACTTTCAAACACTCCATGCCTCTGCATCCTGCGTTGACATTGGCGCAGCCTGTCAACAAATTTTACGCTCCCCCTGCTCACTCTATTTTGCGTTAATGGTATACAAGCATTTAGCTCTATTTGTCGACAAACCGACACCATGGGTTGAAATCCTCCATGTATCACCAAGTCAATTTGCAAACGGTCTGGGACCCCTTCCTGGTCAATAGTCCTTGAAAGCCAGAAAGCTACACGGCAAGGCCTCTGCTCTGCCAGGCTTTGCTGCTTCGACAAATTTGAGGAGAACGGTACCCTCGGTCAAAGTCTGTTTGCCATCCTTCTTTGAATGTAACTCATGGCTCCGGCATTGGATCCAGGATCGAGAAGTCGAGACCTCGTTTAGAGTCTGCACTCTACTGGCTTTTGTCTGCCTCGAAGCAAACAAACAACAACTACATTTGCCAGCTAAATCACAAGGTTTCGAAGAAAACATAGTCATCCATCAACATTCATGAAGTTAAGCTCTTTCCATGGTATCAAGTTGGTGTCCATGCACAAGTTGGCACCGCTGTCACCACCCCTGTTGCTGAACACATCCAACAGTAGGAACAATATTGCAGCAAGTGCTCAGGTCTGAGTCCAAAACAGAGCCATTGCATAGGGCCACATGCCAGCAAGGCAGGCATCCTGCCAATCACCATTGTACGCTCTTCTCTCTGGCATGATTCAATCCTTCGTATGAGACACAACTCGATTCGAACTTATCGCCTGTACAGCACCAGTGACGTCACCCTGACAGACTTTTGCCTCGTATGCGCTGTGTTCGAGGCGCAAAGTCCTCACAAAAGATCTCAGCTGACTTAGCTCCGGGCGCAAAATCTTTGCAGCGCGCTAGTCTCTCCCTGTGGCCGCAGTGCCTCCGCGTGGTCAGCTAGCACCTCACAGCAATTCAAGGGGATCGCCACTTCTGGCCGGCTCAGGCGCCCACAGGAGCAAAGAGTTGCCAAAAGGCATCCGACTGGACCCTGCCTTGGCTCCGCAAGGTGCGAGCTCAGCGCAGACATGCTGCAGCCGGGCCGTTTGCTTTCACCAAGCAGTGCAAAAAGCGGCAGGCCGTTGCCTGACTGGGCTTTACATGATTACATGCGCTCTGCGGGACAGCGGCAGCTGAGCTCGTGACAGCAGACTTTGGAAATTGCGCAGCGGCTTCCAGCGTGCAGTACCTTCATCTCGGCATGTCAATGAGACTGGGCTGTGACGAAAGCGCACTGTGATCCACCGGACTCAAGTTTTGTGGTTATGTCCTCCAAGTACTGCAGAACTGCCTGTGAGGCCAGTCAACACCGTCTTTGCACATTCGGCATGCTGCCGCCTCAGTTGTGCTATCGTCCACCCGCCCAAATGGTCCAGGAAAAGACTCCAGGCTCTGATGCCTCAAGCAAACTAAGACGAAGCACAATTACCCACAAGGCATGCTGGCTTCAGGCCCAGGCCATTCGCCAAGACTATTCCGCAAAACGTCCTTCCAAGTTACCACATAACTCAAAGACAATCTCACACAGGGCAAACATGTTAGCATGGGCGGATCGGGCACGCACACATCCTGCATGGCGTACTCTTTGGTGTTGCCATCCGGTGCCTTTGGCAGTCAGGCTTTGTGCGGAGCACATGCAAAGCAAAGGCTGCGGCTGCACGCAGAACTCTGCCGTCAGCGCTGAAGGCGACTACAACACCTGACTCTGCTGGCATAGAGGAAAACCAGTATCTGCATCTTGAAGAACATGACAGTCCCTTCACTGGTTTCCGCAAATGCATCCAATGCACTTGTTGCTGCGCAACAACCCATGCTCCTGCCTCCGGAGGACTTGCTCGGATAGGCTCCCCTGAAAGGTGTGGCAGACACCTCAGCGGGCAGTGAGCCCATTGGAGATGCCTCCACGGGAGGCGCCCCCGTTGAAGGTATTCCCATTGGAGCTGATGCTGCAATCGGTGCTGACACCACGGGGGGAGTGACTGCAGGTGACCTCATGGGAGGCGCTACTCCGATGGGAGGGGTGGCTCCGATGGGAGGGGTGACTCCCATGGGAGGAGTGACTCCCATCGGAGGTGTGGCTCCCACCGGGGCTGCTCCCGCTGCCGAGGATCCCATTGAAGACGGTTCTGTTGGAGAAGTTCCAAACAAAGATGATGCCGTCGGAGGTCCTCCTAGGGGAGGGGAGCCCATGTCAAATGCTCCAGTTGGCGGGGAGCCCATTGAGGATGCTTCCTTCGGAGGTGAACCCATCGAGAATGGTCCAGTTGACGGAGCGAATCCTGCCATCGGAGCTGCTCCTCCCATTGGAGCTGATCCTGCCATGGGAGGGGCTCCCATGGGAGGTGTGACTCCCATTGGTTGTCCCGTGGGCGGCGTGACTCCCATTGGTGGTGCTCCCATTGGTGGTGCTCCCATGGGAGGTGTGACCCCCACTGGGGCTGCTCCCGCTGCCGAGGATCCCATTGAAGATGGTTCTGTTGGAGAAGTTCCGAACAAGGAGGATACCGTGGGAGGTCCACCTAGGGGAGGGGAGCCCATGTCAAATGCTCCAGCTGGAAGTGAGCCCATTGGGGATGCTTCCTTCGGAGGTGAACCCATCGAGAATGGTCCAGTTGACGGAGCGAATCCTGCCATCGGAGCTGCTCCTCCCATTGGAGCTAATCCTGCCATGGGAGGGGCTCCCATTGGAGGCGTGACTCCCATTGGTGGTGCTCCCGTTGGTGGTGCTCCCATGGGAGGTGTGGCTCCCACTGGGGCTGCTCCCGCTGCCGAGGATCCCATTGAAGACGGTTCTGTTGGAGAAGTTCCAAACAAAGATGATGCCGTCGGAGGTCCTCCTAGGGGAGGGGAGCCCATGTCAAATGCTCCAGTTGGCGGGGAGCCCATTGAGGATGCTTCCTTCGGAGGTGAACCCATCGAGAATGGTTCAGTTGACGGAGCGAATCCTGCCATCGGAGCTGCTCCTCCCATTGGAGCTGATCCTGCCATGGGAGGGGCTCCCATGGGAGGTGTGACTCCCATTGGTTGTCCCGTGGGCGGCGTGACTCCCATTGGTGGTGCGCCCACTGGTGGTGCTCCCATGGGAGGTGTGACCCCCACTGGGGCTGCTCCCGCTGCCGAGGATCCCATTGAAGACGGTTCTGCTGTAGAAGTTCCGAACAAGGAGGATGCCGTCGGAGGTCCTCCTAGGGGAGGGGAGCCCATGTCAAATGCTGCAGCTGGCGGGGAGCCCATTGAGGATGCTTCCTTCGGAGGTGAACCCATCGAGAATGGTCCAGTTGACGGAGCGAATCCTGCCATCGGAGCTGCTCCTCCCATTGGAGCTGATCCTGCCATGGGAGGGGCTCCCATGGGAGGTGTGACTCCCATTGGTTGTCCCGTGGGCGGCGCGACTCCCATTGGTGGTGCTCCCATTGGTGGTGCTCCCATGGGAGGTGTGACCCCCACTGGGGCTGCTCCCGCTGCCGAGGATCCCATTGAAGACGGTTCTGCTGTAGAAGTTCCGAACAAGGAGGATACCGTCGGAGGTCCACCTAGGGGAGGGGAGCCCATGTCAAATGCTCCAGCTGGAAGTGAGCCCATTGGGGATGCTTCCTTCGGAGGTGAACCCATCGAGAATGGTCCAGTTGACGGAGCGAATCCTGCCATCGGAGCTGCTCCTCCCATTGGAGCTAATCCTGCCATGGGAGGGGCTCCCATTGGAGGCGTGACTCCCATTGGTGGTGCTCCCGTTGCTTGTTGTTCCGCCGGAGAAGGTACTCCGAAAGGTGATGCTGGTTCCTTGCATTTCCCACTTGATACCGCAACTTGCACAGAAACTAAGCCACAAACATGCGGGGAAAGATCTAGACTCGGCATAGGAAAAAGGCCAAGGCCTCCTTGGCCAGGCCTTGGTGCAACAACAAGACTCCTTCAAAACAAACCTTGGAGCATGTTCGGACATGGCATCATGATGGACCATAGTGTCAGACTCGGAAGGGCCATTTGCAGCAGGTTCGCCCCACCTTGCTTTGCAGCAATGCGAATCACTGTCACAAGGAAACGTACTAAGAACGAGATGTCAATAAGACGTAGGCATTTCTGATCGTTGGCCCTGAGCCGCGAGGATCAAGAATCATCGGATGGCTCTAGGGCATTGTATTGGCTGGCCCTGGTGTTCAGAGTTGTGCAGTGCTCCTGTGCCACGTATGTTGGATGCCAATCTAATCTGCATCTCACGTCTGCCGCACCTCAAATTAGTTGCAAGTCGTCCATGCGCCCGTCACAGGGTTAGCTTGAGCAGCGAAATAAGGCACATGCGCCTCGATATGGGCCTTGTGGCGCATGTGCATGTATATATATATATATACATGCATACATGCATCCATGAAAATCTGCACATGACATGTACAAAATCTGCACATTTCTGGCTGGGACTACCTTCACTCTGATGGGCTTTGACCGTGGCTCCTCTTATCTTCAGGCGGATTGACATGCAACTTGGTGCGCTCCCAAGGGGTGGGATCCTTTTCAGCGCATCCAGCGACACGACGCGCGGCTGGTCCGCTGGCAGATAGCCTCTTCGCTGGAGGTCCTGCGCACAACCCCCGGTCAGGTCCCCCCAAGCAAACCAACCAACAACCAACCAACCAACCAGCTAGCCAGCCAGCCAGCCAGCCAGCCAGCCAGCCACCCAGCCACCCAACCAACCATCCATCCAACCAACCAACCAGCCAGCCAGCCAGCCAGCCAACCAGCCAACCAACCAACCAACACACAAACACACAAACACACAAACACACAAACACACAAACACACAAACACACAAACGCACACACGAACACAACACACAAACACATACACACACAAACACACACAAAAACACACAAAACACACACACACACACACACACACACACACACACACACACACACACACACACACACACACACACACACAGAGACACACACACACACACACACACAAACACACACACACACACACAAACACACACACACACACAAACACACAAACACCAAACACACAAACACACAAACACACAAACGCACACACGAACACAAAGACACAAACACACACCCACACACACACAAACACACACAAAGACACACACACACGCACACGCACTGCGCACGCACACGCACACGCACACGCACACGCACACGCACACGCACGCACGCACACAAACACACACAAACACACAAACACCCATCACACACATAAAAAAAACACAAACACACAAACACAAACACGCACATGGACACACACACGCACACAAAGACACATAGGCACACACACACACACGCGCGCACACACTCACACGCACACACGCACGCAAGCACGCACGCACGCACGCACGCACGCAAACACACACGCACGCAAGAACGCACGCAAATCACAAAGAGACAAAGAGACAAACAAACATACAAACAAACACACAAACAATCAAACAAACAAACAAACAAACAAACAAACAAACAAACAAACAAACCAACACACACACACACAAACAGACACACACACAGACAAACACAAACACAAACACAAACACAAACATCCCGGCGGACCGAAATTCGCGTTGTGCTGCTTTTCTGAAACCTGAGAGAGCCCACGAACCCGAACGCACATCACTTTGCACAAGCCCAAGAAAATAATTAGAGAGAACATTTTTCGGTATAAGCCAATGGGGCTCGCAATCAAGCCTACTGCGCAAACTATGTTTTTCAGCTTGTAAACTGCACTTTGCGCGCTCCACTTGTTGCTACAAAGCTGCGATTTTCAACCTGGAGCTGGACACCTGCGCTTCGCGCGCTTGTACTACAAAGTTGCGATTTTCCAGCCGGAGCTGGTACTTCGCGCGCTAGACTTAGCTACACAGCTGCGATTGTCCAGCTAGAGCTGAAAACCTGTACTTTGCGTACTAGACTTGTACGACAAAGTTGCAATTTTCAAGCTGGAGCTCAAAACCTGTACTTCGCGTATTATACTTGCACTTCAAAGTTGCGATCTTCCAGCCAGAGCTGGAAACTTGTACTTCACGTACTATACTTGCACTACAAAGTTGTGACTTTCCAGCTAGTGCTGGAAACCTGCACACTTCGCGCACTAGACTTGTACTTCAAAGTTGCGATTCTTCAGCTAGAGCTGGTACTACAAAGTTGCGATTTTCCAGCTAGAGCTGGAAACCTGTGCTTTGCGTGCTAGACTTGTACTACAAAGTCGCGATTGTCCCGCTAGACCTAGAACCTTGTACACCTGATCAACACTTCTGAACCACACTTTTTCTGGTCAACACTTCTGAGCAACATTTCTGAGCGACACTTTTTCTGATCGACACTTCTGATTGACACTTCTGAGCGACAATTTTGACCGACACCTGATCAACACTTCTGAACCACACTTTTTCTGATCGACACTTCTGAGCAACACTTCTGAGCGACCACTTCTGAGCAACACTTTTGATCCGCACTTCTGATGCACACTTTTGGTCGACAGTTTGAGCAACACTGCTGAACCACACTTCTGAAATCTTCTGATTGACACTGATGAGCAACACTTCTGATCCACACTTCTCATCGACAGTTCTGAGCAACACTTCTGACCAACACTTCTGATCCCACTGCTCATCGACACTTGTGAACGACACTTCTGAACAGCACTGCTTGCTCAATTAACATTTCTGAGCGACACTTCTGAGCAACACTTCTGATCGACACTTCTGAGTGAGCAACACTTCTGACCCACACTTCTGATTGACGCTGCTGAGCGACACTTTTGAGCGACACCTGATCAACACTTCTGAACCACACTTTTTCTGATCAACACTTCTGAACAACACTTCTGAGCGACACTTTTTCTGTTCGATTTTTCTGAGCAACACTTCTGATCGACACTTCTGATCGACACTTCTGAGCAACAGTTTTGAGCAACACTGTTGGTCCGCACGTGCGCTTGACACTTCTGATCGACAGTTTGAGCAACACTGCTGAACACACTTCTGATTGACACTGATGAGCAACACTTCTGACCCACACTTCTCATCGACAGCTCTGAGAAACACTTCTGACCAACACTTATGATCCACACTGCCGCTCGACACTTCTGAACGACACTTCTGAGCAACACTGCTGAATTGACACTTCTGAGCGACACTTCTGAGCAACATCGACACTTCTGAGCAACAGTTGACACTTCTGAACCACACTTTGTCTGATCGACGCTTCTGAGCAACACTTCTAAGAGAGACTTTGCTGATCGACTTTTCTGAGCAACACTTCTGATTGACACTTCTGAGCAACACGTTTGAGCGACTGAACCGCACTTTTTCTGACGAGCAACACTTCTGATCGACACTTTTTCTGATCGCAACAGTTTTGAGCAACACTTTTGAGCCGGACTTGTGCTTGACACTTCTGATCGACAGTTTGAGCAACACTGCTGAACCACACGTCTGATTGACACTGATGAGCAACACTTCTGACCCGCACTTCTCATCGACAGTTCTGAGAAACACTTCTGACCAACACTTATGATCCACACTGCTCATCGACGCTTCTGAACGACACTTCTGAGCAACACTGCTGAATTGACACTTCTGACACTTTTGAGGAACCCTTCTCATCAACACTTCTGAGCAACAGTTGACACTTCTGAGCGAACTTTTTGAGCGACGCCTGACCAACACTTCTGAACCACACTTTTTCTGATCGACGCTTCTGAGCAACACTTCTGAGAGATATTTTGTTGATCGACTTTTCTGAGCAACACTTCTGAGTGACACTTCTGAGCGACACGTTTGAGCGACTGAACCACACTTTTTCTGATCGACACTTCTGAGCAACACTTCTGAGCGAAACTTTTTCTGATCGACTTTTCTGAGCAACACTTCTGATTGACACTTCTGAGCGACACCTGGTCAACACTTCTGAACCACACTTTGTCTGATCAACACTTCTGAGCAACACTTCTGAGCGACACTTTTCTGATCGACTTTTCTGAGCAACACTTCTGCTCACACTTTTGAGCCACACCTTTGATCCGCACTTGTGCTTGACACTTCTGATCGACAGTTTGAGCAACACTGCTGAACCACACTTCTGAAATCTTCTGATTGACACTGATGAGCAACACTTCTGATCCACACTTCTCATCGACAGTTCTGAGCAACACTTCTGACCAACACTTCTGATCCACACTGCTCATCGACACTTCTGAACGACACTTCTGAACAGCACTGCTTGCTGAATTGACACTTCTGAGCGACACTTCTGACCCACACTTCTGATTGACACTTCTGAGCGACACTTTTGAGCGACACTTTTTCTGATCGACTTTTCTTAGCAACACTTCTGATCGACGCTTCTGATCGACGCTTCTGAGCAACACTTTTGATCCGCACTTCTGATTGACACTTCTGATCTGATCAACAGTTCTAGTTCTGAGCAACACTTCTGATCCACACTTCTGACAACATTTCTGAGGGACACGTCTGAGCAACACTTCTCAGCAACACTTCTGTTCGACACTTCTGATCGACACTTCTGATCGACACTTCTGAGCAACACTTCTGATCGACACTTCCGAGCAACACTTCTGTCGACACTTCCGATGAGCGACACTTGTGATCGACACTTCTAATCGACACTTCTCAACGACACTTGTGCTGGACACTTGTGATCGGCACTTCTGAACGAAACTTCTGTCTCCAAATGCGCACCGCGCCACAGCGAGAGCGATCCAAGGCGCGCAGAGGGTTCACTTTGCACGCTCAAAATGTGCACCGCGCCACAGCGAGAGCGATCCGACCCACCTGATGCGCGCAGAGGGTTCACTTCGCATGCTCAAAATGCGCACCGCGCCACAGCGAAAGCGATTTGACCCACCCAAAGTGCGCAGAGGTTGCTTTGCACGCTCAAAATGTGCACCGCGCCACAGCGGGAGCGATTTGACCCACCCAAAGTGCTCAGAGAGTTCGTTTCGCATGCTCAAAATGCGCACCGCGCCACAG